GCTCTTAGGGCCCACAGACCCCCCCATCTGCCTAGAGAGGCCCCATCACTTTAGCACCCTCACAGCCTGCTGTGCCACTGTGTGCAGGGGTGAGGGACAAGAAATAGCAAAATGGGTAGGTTCCAAGATAAACACAATTAACTTCATCTGCCAGCCACAGACCACTATTAAGCCTGGCCCAAATGGTGAATGAAGGGCCTCATTCTTGTGGCATTTGAAGGCACAGAAATGAAAGAGAAGAGAAGAGAGATGCCGGGTGGATAGAATTGAAGCTTTTTGTGGGCATTTGTGTGTGTGAGTAGGGGATTGAGGTAGTTGGGAGGAAGGAGGAGGAGGAGGATAAACTGAGATGATGGTGCAAAGGCAACTATCTCACACTGGCCTCTGGAAGGAGAAAAGAGGCTAAGCCTAGAGACAGAAAGAATGAGAAAGATCTCTTTTGGGGTGATCAGAGAGTGGGACATAAATCCCTGATTAATAATTCAGTAATTGTTTGTAAATATTTGCCTTTCTTTCATCAGGGCACACCAATGTTCTACCAAGATCTGGGTACTGGGAACAAAAAATAGAGCCTATCTATTTCTAGACACATCTTCTTACCAAAACCTTTAATGGAGAGGTGTGACTCCCATTCATGTGTTTGTTCATCTCTTTATTCACTCATGAGTCCATCCCTCAGCTTGTTCAGCCCTTCCCCTGAGGTAGACTCTCACTACACTTAGATGGCTATGGATAGGCCTCACCTTTCAGAACCTCACAGTTTCCCTGCATAATTGCAGCAGGACCCAGCCCCTGGGGAAGGGGCTAATAGGAATAAGGTGCTATGTCCAGGCTGAGATTCCCAGCTTTCTGCAGAAAAGGGGGCTTCTCTTTCCCTTGTATGGCTGGATTGGGATTAGTCTAGAGCCAGGCATGGGGAAGAAGGGCAGCTTCAGGACCAATGCTGGGGTTCAGAATTCCAGTTTTCTGCCCAGAGAATGGGGCACCATTGAAGGCCCTAGAGGAGGGAGCAGAGATTTCTAGATTGGTGGCTCAACTCCTGATGGTCAAGTGCTATATTGCTTGCTCTTGGTAGTGAGGTCATTGTCCTCAGGGCCTGCCAAGGACACTGGCATGACACAGCATAGTCTGGCCTGAAGTTTCCCTTGGTAAGGCTCATACTGCTGTTGGACCATGTCCATTCCCTGGAGCCACTTCAGCCTTAGGGAGAAGAGCCTGTCACAGTGAACAGGAAGTGTGGGACAGCCTGTGGGAAGGTCATGACATTGTGATGTATGCTGTCAGCCAGCTCCTGAGTGGCATCTGCTCAAGGAAAGAAGCAGAAATGGCTGGTTCAGGTCAATTGAGATTGATTTACTCGATAAGTCCATGTTATCTGTCTCCTGGATTTCCGAAGATAGCTGATCTTCAGTTGATATCACACTAGATGACAGAATGAGAGTGACCAGATGTGCTGCCTGCTCAAATCCTGACCCCAGCACCCCACCCCAACCTCTATAACTAGACTATTTAACTCTTTCAGGCAGGCACAGCCTCCCACTCTCGGGCTCCCTTTCTACTTCAGGAAGGCACTCTGTAGGGAACCTGGGGTCTGTGACTTGTTGACTTGAGATTATATCCATCTGGTGTGGTACCATCTCCAGTGTCCTGGGAAATAGAACAAAGGCATTCACCCCTTTTCTAAGATCATTTTTTCTCTTCATCTTCATTTGATCCTGTGAACACTGGCCTCATCCTTTATGGTAAAAACCCCATCTCTGGGTCCCGGGTTCTCCATACCTGCAGCAGGCCCTAGTTGACTTCAAACATTCCAGACATTTGTCCTGCCCTTGAGCCTATGTTTGGGACCCAAACTTGTCTCAGAATTTGTCTTGCTCTCAGTCTTTGTCCTACTCTGACCCCCACCTGCAGGTTCCATCCTGTCCCTGGACCTAACCATTGATACCCCTAAATGCTGTGAATACCTGTCAGGGTCCCTTATTACTTCAGCCCTGTGCCCCATCCTGATGTTAAATGTCTGCCTAGACTATGCCTTGGGTTGCTGAACCCACTGGACAAGTGTTTACTGTGGTCTAGGCTCCCAGTTTCTATTGGATGGTTTAGTGCTAACCTTTGACTTCTTCCCATGGTCTTGTACACTGGGAAATGTTGGCAAAACCCCCTCCCACTCAGTGCTACCTGCACTGACCCCATGCTCTAATGGGTTGGTGCTGTGCCCTGTGTCTAGGGGTTGGGCCTGAAGGGTAAGGCCACCCCTCTGGACAATCACCAAAATGCCAACTTTATATAGGTCAGCTGGGGAGGAAAAACCACTTGCCTCTCTGGAGGTACCAAGCAGGACCATATTTTGTATGAAGAGACCTAAGCATATTCTTCTGGGTAGTAAGGAGTGCTTTGATAATGTCTACCAGAAGGACATAAACCAGCCAGTAGAAATGGCCAGAGCTATGAGCTCTGGAAAATTGACTCTATTTTGTAATCAATTACTTAATGCCATGTTACGTTTATAGAGCACCTGTTATATTAAAAACAAACAGGGCCACATGACAGGAAGGAGGGATGTGGTAGTATGCCAAGTAGCAAGAAAATCTTGTTTCAACAGAATGGCCTGGTTTTAGCCACATGAGGTAGGGTTCAGGGTTTCCATTTGGACTAAAATGTGAAAGAGGAAGTCAGATGACCTGAAACAAACAGCTGAAGGTGGCATTGGTTATTAGTAAGATACAAAAGGGAAGCAAAGCCTTATGGGTGAGATTCTGAGAGGCATGGTACAACATCCCTAGGTAGGTGGGCAGTGCTAGAATTATTACAAACATGGGCTTTGAACACAGGTGAATGTGAGTTACAGCCTTACCTCCATCACTTCCCAGGTTTGTGATCACCGACAATTTATTTAATCTCCCTATTTCTTAGTTTCCTCACTTGTAAAGTAATAATTCTAATACTTACATCAAAGAATTATTGTAGCTGTTAACTGAGATAATGTATGCAAGATAACAGAGTGCTTGAAGCATTGTAACTTCTCTATAAATGGTGTTTATTAGATTTAATCCATTTCCAACTTTGGGTGATGAGAATTTGTTTTTATTCAGGAAGAAGGCAGTATCCTTTTATTACCCTGCTTGGTCACTCTTCTGTCACCTGATGCTTGGACCTGCACCTTTCCTAAGGACTAAGTATTAATCCAGTCTCTGTGCCCTGGCCAACCCACTGTTTGGCCCTTTTCTTTACCCACTGGGCCCCAAGCTCCAGAAGATGCCACAGACCACACCGTGCACACAGAGTGTGCACTACTCTTCCTTGTATGTTCTCTACTCATTAAATATATCTTGATAATATATCTGAACTCTACCATGAAAGTTATGTGAACTTTGTGAGCCTTCTGTTAAAGAAAATGATAATAATAGAGTAAACGTGTATATTTATAGGGGTGGGGAGATGACAAAATAAAGGCCCTAGCAAATAATGGGGAGATCAGGCTCCTTTTCCACTTCAACAAAGAGTTTGATCTTACAGCTCCAGCCTCATTCTCTTTCTACATCCAAGTTGGGCCTTATGTAATCTTTCCCACTCAATACTAATTAGATGTGCATGTAAATTTATCATTTTCACACCTTCTCTTTTTTTTAATCTAAATTAAGCATTTAATTGTCTAGTAAGCATGTTTGTGAGATACTCAAGGCCAGGGAGGGCTGGAGGAGGGACTCAGAACCTAACAGTACGTGGGGACATGCAATGGGGGCTTGCCAAGCCCTTCCAACCCCATCAGAGAATGTCTGCCACTAAGAGTCAAGCTAAAGTTCAACCTGTCCAGCAGCTTAACACACAAGCTCAGCTCAGAATTTCTTCAGGCTGAATTAGGTTTTAGCTAGGAATGAGTCTCCTCTACTTTCTTTTTCCCTCTCTCCTCAAATCTTTCTCCTTCCCCTTGTGGAAATCAACAGAATAAAAAGTTTTCATGTTGTGTCCCACCTTTGTTTGAGCTTTGCATTCATTCATTAAACAGATGACCATCAGGAGCCTACTCTGTTCCAAGAATATTGGTTATGTCAAGGTAAGTAGCTTTGAGCTGAGGTGTGCATATATTTTGACCATACTGAGCACGGGGGAGAGTACAATGTGTTTTTAAGAAATACCTTCAATTGATTTGCTTAATATTGCCATGTTTACAGCTTAAGAGAAATGATAATCATTTTTAGATGCTAATGAAAAAGAAGGCCAACCCAATAAGTTAGTACACTGTTATAGTGGGTGGGTACTTACCATGTGCCAGAGCCTGTGCTGTAGAGTTCTGCACTGCTATTCTCTTGTCTACTCTTGGCCCTTCTCTGCCCTTCTCTTTGATCTAGATGCTCAGGCACTCAAAATTTTCTCGAGAACCAGCTCTGTGGGGGCATGGAAACATGCACTGGGAATGTAAGACATATAATATCTGCTCTTAGAGACTTACCACCAGAAAATAAACATGTGACAGACAGGGCTCTAACTCTACCCTAGGTCAAGGCAGGATGGTGTGGGTGTGCATCCTGCTTTCCTGTTGTCTCTGTCAGGTAGTGTCTGTAAACCATTAATAGTATGGTTTTTTGCTTTCCTGACACTGTCTTCTCATTCCAACACCTTAGAGAGCATGTGAAAGGACATTAGTCTTGATTTCTAATTCCACAAAGCATCTCACTACCCTTATACCTAGCTTGTCACACAGCAAAAAATGGCAAATGTGAGGAAAAGGCTCTTCTCAGTAGGTTTTGTGCTGGGTTGAGGAGAGATTTGGTTCTGGAATAGGAGAGATCATTGTCTCTCAGGAAAAAAGTAGTCCTGCTGTAGAATATCACTGGCAGAGAGTCTCTTCTATGATACCCCCTTCTCCCTAGGCCACTCTCTGTGATTCTAGAATATCCCCTCCTCTACCAGCTTCAGGACACTGCTCCATTCAGAACTTGAGCTGTCCTTGAAGTCCTACTTATTCCTTGCATGCTTCCCCTCTTTCTTTTGCCTTTCAGAAGTCGCCTAAGGATCCTAATGACAGTCAACTTCCAGGCAGAACTGGGACAGGAAATCTGTGCTCCTCCTTTCCCACAGATGCACAGCTGTTCCTGCTCAGCGGGTGGAGAGCCAGGCCTGCCACTTACAGAGAGGAGACAACTTAGGTGCCGCTGACTTCTGCCAGTGGGAGGGTGAGATGTCTACATCCCATTGAAGGACATGCCCAGATCCTTTTTGGCCACGTGGTGAGCAGAAATCTGTCACTGAAGTCTGCTGCCTTGGCAGTCTACAGGCTGCAAGTTCATGGAGAGACCAAGAGCCAGGAAATGAGTTAGAAAGCTGTGTGACTACAGGCAGACTTGAAGAGTCTGGCACTGTGAAGAACTCAGAGGCAGAACCATCCAGCCGTAAGATGAGGTCTCATTACCCCTACTCAGGGTAGAAGAGAGGCCAGCAAGATCCAAGAAGGGCATGAAGAATATCATGGGGACTCCAGGGATCCTTGACCACATTCAAGGGCTTGTTTTCTCTTGATGTGAGTGCTTAGAAGTTTCCCTCCAAGTGGCTCCTGCAAATGGGAACATTCATTCCCTTCAGATTCTTAACTCTGAGGAAGGGTATCAGCATTGGCATTGGGGTAACTGGCTGGGCCAATGGTGTTAGTTCACAGACCCCTAGAGCTGTGGAGATAAACAGAGCCTGTAAGAAAGTTCTTCTTTATAGTGAAACAAAATTTTTCCTCCCTACAATTACTACCCATTAATCTGAAGTTCCAGAAAACTGGGCTTCTCTTTGTGTGTCAGTCTTCTGAATATTTGAAGTTATTAAAGAGTCACAAACACTTAAATTATCCAGGCATATTATTCTATGTTTGTTTCTCCAATAACTGTTTTTAAACCCCTCTTTATCCTCTTGTTTTCACTAGATGTTTATAACTTGTTATTCAAAATTTAGTCCATGGGCCAAGAGCATTAACATCCCCTGGGAGTTTGCTAGAAATGCAGAATCTCAGGGGTCATCCTTTTCATTCTGTATCAGAATCTGCATTTTAACAGGTTCCCTAGGTTATGTATATACACATTAAAGTTTAAGAAGGACTGGTTTATAGCATTTGATAGCAACATACACACATTTATGTGTAACCTCTATGCCAAACAATAGCATGATTAATTAAATTGTGACATATTAAGGCTATGGGATATCATGCATTATGCATAGCAACTACATAGAAACCTGAGGAAGAGCTAATGCTGACATTTAAAGAGAGTACTGATTACACCCCAGACTGTGTCCAAAGCATGTTAGTAATTACCTCCTTGAGTCATCACAATAACCCCCAAAGACAGGTAACACTGCTATTCCCATTTTAAAAGTGATGAAAGGAGTCCAGTGAGGGTGAGTGACTTGACTATGATCCATTGCTGGAGCCCAGGCAGGTGAATTTCAGAGCCCATGTGCCTGACCACTGCTAACATCCAATGACATAGCCAGTGTTACAGGATTATGTGTAAGCTATGGCTACAACTGTACACATATAAATTGAGTTTCCCTAATGATAGCACATTGTGCTATTGTAATAAAAACAATTAAAAAACAGCATGCCCCAAACTGAGCACAGCTTTATTCAGCCTCAGCAGTATTTCTACCATCTCTTACATTTTCTTCTCATTTAAACAATGTTTATAATACAATGAATAATATATAGTTATAATAAAAAATTTTTCATACACAAAAAGGATATAAAATGAAAAGTAAAGTACTCCCTTCCCAAAAGCCCTCCTCCACTTTGAGATAACCACTGTTAGCAGTTTCTTATATATCTTTCAAAAAATGTGTTCTGCATTTAAAATAACGAACACACACACATATATAATGCACACACAATCCACTCTTAGCTCAGATACATCTGTTAAAGCAGCTTTGTGATTGGCTCCTGTTTTATTTATGATAAATTGGAATACCCAGATCTTTCTCACATGAAGTGTTAAGTTTTCATTTCCATCTTGTACAGATTTTTTTTCTCACCTAAATGTAGGATATTTTATGTCTTCTTACAGAGTTTTATGTTTTATGTAGCTGGTTGTGTTCTAGAATTCCAATGAATCAAATCTTTTTCACTTCTAACTCTAGTACAGAAAAGCTTTCTCTTTCACAAGTCTAATAGTTATACCCTGCTCTTCCAAGCCCAAGGAAGTGACTGCAGGGCTGTGGGGAGCAGAGGTGGTTTACAATGGTCACTATTAACAGTGAAACAAAAAATTACAGCAAAATGTTAGTCAAAGCTATCTCCAGATGGTGGGAGTTTTATTTTTCACTTTTTACTTTTCTGTATTTCCCAAATGTTTAACAATGAGCATGGGTTAATTTTGTTATTAAAAGAAGAAGAAAAAATGAAAACTGGAATTTTATAGATTAGATATTGTTTCTGCCTCTTCACTGTCTTCCTCAGGGAGATGACACATCCATTCTCTTTGTCGGGTAGTGGCCCCTGTAAAGTAAGCAGTAATTGCTATATGCCCAATGTATTGACATTGGATTTGACCACTTGGCTTGCTATTGGACTCCTGATCCCATATGACTGATGCCCTTATAAAAAGGGGACAGTTAGACATGGATACAGGGTGAATGCCAATGAACATGAAGACAGAGATTGGGGTAATGCTTCTCACAACTAAGGAATGCCAAACTTTGCTAGCAAACCACCAGAAGCTAGGAAAAAAGCATGAAACAGATTTTCCTTCACAGCCTCAGAAGGTAACAACTCTGCTTACATTTTGATCTCAGAAGTCCAGCCTCCAAAAATGTAAGACAATACATTTTTGTTATTTAAGCAACCCAGTTTGCTTGAGGTACTTTCTTATGGAAGCACTAAGAAACTAATATAAAAGGCCACCTCAGATTTTGCATTCAATTACAATATGTGGCTACCTTCTCCACACCAAGCAATTCCCTGAAACCTGCTGGGTGTTCTGCAATTCAACTTAACTCTGACACTATCTACCTTGTGATAGTGTCAGATTCCACAGTTTAAGATTGCAGAGGTTGTCACCTGGGCTTTTGACTGACAGGTTATAGATGGGAAATTTCAACAACCCCCCTCTTTGGATTCAATTAACTTGCTAGAATAGCTCACAAAACTCAGAGAAACATTTTACTTACTAGATTATTAATTTATTATCAAAGGATATATCTCAGGAAGACCCAGATGAAAGAGATGAATAGAGCGAGGTGTGAGGAAAGGGTGTGGAGCTCCCATGCTCATTCTGAGCATGCCGCTCTCCCAGAACCTCCACATGTTTACTTGCCCAGAACTCTCTGAACCCCATCATTTTGGATTTTTATGGAGGACATGGCTGATTATATAATTGCCATTGGTAATTGATTCAACCTCTATGTACAGTGAACATACTGTAAATATGACTTATCACTGTTGATGTTAACTTTGATTATCTGGCTGAGTCAATCTGGTTTCTGTACTGTAAAGTTACTCTCTGCTCTGTTCCCCACTTTCCATACTTTATTCTTTGGAAGGATGTCACTATGTGCAGCCCATGCCTAAGGCATGGAGACTCAGATGTATGGTCCTTCCTGAAGCAATATCTTCATGGATTATTGGGAATTCCACATGACAGATTTGTCTGTTGTCTCTCATTTGTGATCTATGTAGATGTGTACATTTACTTATTTATTCAATGATTTATTTATGTCAGCAACACATTTTATTTTATTTTTATTTATTTTATTTATATTTTTAATTCTCACCCAAGGGTATGTTTTTTTTCTGAGAGAGAGAGAGAAACATCGATGTAGGAAAGAATCATCCATCAGTAGCCTCCCATGCCTACCCTGACCAGGAATTGAACCCACAACTTCTGGTGCATGTGAGGATGCTCCAACCAACTGAGTCACCCAACCAGAGTAGTACTGAATTTTATTTTACACTTTGGTTTGTACTTCAATACTATTTTATTTATTTTGTTGTTCAAATTGTTCTGTTCTAGAAATTGGGTGTTCTTTCAGATGGTCCCTGTGTCCCTTTGACATAACTCTCATCACTGTGCATGTGTTTTTAAGTACTTCCTTACTGCAAGATACTCTAAGCTCATTGGCATATCTCCTGTACCAGTCCTAGAATCAACATTTCTCCAAGTAGCCCTCCTACTTTGACTGGATATCAAAACCAAGGTATGAATTCTAGGTGTGCTCATTTTTACTGGGGTGTTATTGCTTCTCAGCCCTCTCAGCATACAGAGCAAGGAAATCTATGTGGATACTAACCAATGTATATACACATATCTATACATATGTTTATATATAATCATCTTAGTCTACATTAAGTTAAATATGAGTTCATATTGATATCTTCAAATATAATACAGTACCACATGGATCTTTCTAGCTTCCTTACTTATCTGTAAAATTCTGTTCTAACAGTGAGAAACCTGCCTTTGATCATCTGCCATGCATTTACTCAATTGTTAAATCCCAGTATACACATATAGTGTTTTCAGAATTGTTAACCTGCACTGCCAAGGGAAAGAACTTTGTCAGCTAGGGTACACTGTTTAAGTACAAATCCTTTTGCTTTTAGACTTACAGAGTCTACTTATTTCCAAAATACTCACATCAACACCTTTCCCTCACCTTCTTCAGGGAGGGTATTCCATGCATTTGTAATACAATTAGATTCTTTTTCACATCGTACTTTCCATTCTAAGGCACACTTCCTGCCACCATATCCTAAATGATTTTTTACAACTTACATTATATTAAGATTTATTCTCTGTGCTATAAAGTTCTATGGGTTTTGATAAATGTATAGTGTCATATAGCCACCATTACAATATCTTACTGAATAGTTTCATTACCCTAAACATCCCCTGTGCTTCCCCTATTCAACCCTCTCTCTCCCACCTCAACCACCAGCATCTGACATATTTACCATCTGGATAGTCCTGCCCTTTCCAGAATATAATCTAAGTGAAATAACACAGTGTGTGATGTTTTCAAACTGGCTTCTTTCACTTAGAAGTATGCATTGAAGATTTACCCATGTCTTTGTGTGGCTTAATAGCTCATCTGCTTCCCATCACTGGGCAGCCTTCATCATGTGAACACACCACAATTTGTTTATCCATTCACCTATTGAAAGATAGTTCAATCACTCACATAACTGCTATATATATTCATATGTAGGTTTTTGCATAGACATAAATTTTCAAATGACATAGGTAATGCCTAGGTGTGTGGTTGCTAAATTACATATTAAGAACTTGTTTGGCTTTATAAGAAACTGTCAAACTATCTTCCAAAATGGCTGTATGATTTTAAATTCTCACCAGCAATAAGTAAGAGTTACTGTGCCTCCACATCCTTGTCAGAAATTAACATTGTCAAGAGTTTTTCAATTTTAGTCATTGCAATAGGTATGTAGTGGTATCTCACTGCACTCCCTTAATGACAAAAAAGTGGGGAAAGTGTTTTCAATTGTATATTTACTATTTATGTATTGTCTTTGAAAAGATGTCTATTCAGATCTTTGGCCCATTTTTGAATTGGTTTGAGTGTCTTGTTATTGCTGAGTTTGAAGTGTTCTTTGTGTATTTTGGACATTAGCCCTTTAACAAATATGTGTTTGTAAATGTTTTCTCCCTGTTTGTGACTTGTCTTATTCCTTCTCTTAACAGTGCCTTTAGCAGAGCAGTCATTTTCAATGTTAATAAAATTTAATGTATCATTTTTTTCTTTTATGGATCATACTTTACTTGTGGTATCTAAAAATTCATCACAAATCTCAAGATCATATGAATGTTATCCCATATATTTTTAGAATTTTTATAATTTTATATTTTACATTAGGTCTACAATCCATTTTGAGTTAATTTTTATGAATGGTATAAGGTCTGTGTTTATTTTCTTTTAATGTTTTTATACCATATGGAAGTCTATTTCTTCTAACCCCATTCACTGCAAAGATTATCTTTTCTCTATTGAATTACCTTTGTGCCTTTGTCAAAGGTCAGTGAACTATATTTTGTTTTAAAATTGTTGAATCTTTTAGAATTATCAATTTTAAACCTTCTGGTTTTATATTGAATATATAAAGGCTTTAATGTTTCAAGATTATTTTAAAAATCTTATGTCTTTGCTTATTACTTTTATGTCTTTGCTTAGCATTTTATATGTTTAAATTTTTGATCCAAATGTAATTTACATAAATGTAAAGTGTGAAGAAGAGATTCAAATTAATTTTCTTCTGGGGATTTCTGAATTTCTGAACATTATATATTGAAGAGTCCATCTTTTCTATACTGGATATACTCTTCTCATATAAAAAATTTTTAAATGAATATTGAGTCTGTTTCTTTATTCTCCGATCTGTTCCACTCATAGATTTTCCAATCATGTCAATAGCACACTATTTAATTACTGTATCTTTATAAAATATTTTAATATTTAATATTCCCTCCTTAGTTTTATTTTTCATTATTTTCTAGAGATTCTTACATGGTTGTTTTTCCATCTCAACATATGATTTAACTATTCTACCTCAAAAATGATATATTATTTTATAGGTATCAAATTAAATTTAGATACTAAATTAGAAATACCTGAAATCTTTAGAATATTGATTTTTATCCAATAATACAGTAGCCTTTTCATTATTGAAAACTTATTTTGTGTGTCTCTAGTATTTTAAGGTTACTCTCATAAAGATCTTAATCAATAATTACATTAAATGCAAATGCTATAACCATTCTAATTACAAAGTGGAGTTGAGAGATTGAATAAAAAGTTAGGTCCAACTACTTGCTGCCTCTAAGAAAAGCACCTTAAATATAGAGACACAAGTGGGTGAAAAATGAAAGGATGACAAATGATACAACATGGTAACATTCCTCAAAGAAAAGAATATTACCAGAGATGAAAAGGGTCATTTTATGATAATAAACATACCAATGCATCAAAAGATCATAACAGCCCTAAATGTTTATGTCCCAAATAACAGAGCTTCAAAATATACAAGCAAAACCTGACAAACTGCAAAAAAGAAATAGATAAATGAAACAATTACTGTTGAAAATTTTAACACTCTTCTCTTAATAATCGACAGGACAACTAGACAGAAAACTAGTGAGGATATGAAAGGCTTGTACAACACTTCCAAGGAGCCGGCCTTTTTGACATTTATAGAACACTCACGCAGCAATACTGTACTACATCTTTTATTTCAAGTGCACAGAAATATTTACCAAAATAGACCATCTGATGAGCCAAAAGTAAGTACCGATAAATTTAAATGGATTCAAATAATAAAAATTTGTCTTTTGACTATTACTGGAATTATGTTAAAAATCAACACAAGAACAATATCTAGAAAATGTCCAAATATTTGGAAGTAAACAACACACCTAAAACCTTAAATTTATTATCTTAGTTTCCATTTCTAGAAACTAGAAAAGGAAGAAGAAATTAAATTCAGGTAAGCAGAAGAAAGGAAACAGTAAAAATCAAAGTGGAAATAAATGAAATAGAAAAAAGAAAATCAATGTAAACACAAATTGGTTTTTTTGAGATAAAAAAATTGATAGACCTTTAACCAGACATATTATGAAAAAGAAAGAGAAGACACTATCAGTATAGGAATTAAATATGCAGTAATACAGATTCTCTAGCTATTAAAATGTTTTAAAGAAGACATAAGTAGAGAGTTTTTTACCAATAAATTTTTTTAAAACTTAGATGAAATAATTTCAAATATACATACTATCAAGTCTTTTATAATAAATAGATAACCTGCAGAAACAAACTCATAAATACAGAGACAACATTTTCATCATTGCCATGTGGGAGGGCAATGGGGGAATGGGTGAAAAGGAGGAAGGGTTTAAGAAGTACCAATTGCCAATTATAAAAACAGTTATAGGATGTAAAGTATAGCATAGGGAATATAGTCAATAATATTGTAATAAATATTGATATGTATGGTGTCAGATGGATACTAGACTTATTGAGATGATCACTTGTAAATTATATAAATGTCTAATCACTATGTTGTATACCTGAAACGAAAATAATACTGTGTGTCAACTGTAACTGAAAAACTAAAATAAATAAGTAGATAACCTGCATAGACATATGATTTAGGAAATGGAATCTATAGTTAAAACCTTTCTCACAAACAAACCCAGGCTTTGTTCACATCAATGAATTCCACCAAACATATGAGGAAGAAAAATACCAACTCTGCAGAAGTGTTTTTGAAAATTTAAGAGGGACAAATATTTTATAACTACTTCTATGTGGTCAGCATTATACTAATACCAAAGCCAGACAAAGGCATTACAAAAAAAGTAAACAGCAGACTAACATACCCCATGAACACAGATGTAAAAAATTATAACAAAACTTTGGCAGCTTGAATCTATAAAAAGGGTAATATATCACAACCAAAGTGGATTTATGACAGGAATGTCAGACTGGTTTAACATTAGAGTATCAGTTAGTACAATTTGCCACATTACCACCTAAAAAAGAGAAAAAAACGTGGTCACTTCAATAGAGCAGAAAAAGCATTTCACAAAATTCAATATCTATTCATGACAAAGATACTCATCAAACTAAGAATGGAAGTGAACTCCTCAGTCTAACAAAGGCTAACTAGAAAAATCTTTTATCTAGCACCACACCAAGTGTGAAAGACAATGCTTTCCTCATGAGATCAGGAACAAGGCAAGGATATTCATTCTCACGTCATCACTTCTACTCAACATTTTACTGGATACTCTAGCCAGGGCATTCAGGTTGGAAAGTAATAAAACAGTCTTTATTTGCAAGATAACATGAGTGTCTAGGTAAAAAATCCCAATGGATGTACAAAAACACTCCTAAGTGAATTTAGCAGGGTCCATATAAAAAATTAATTGTATTTCTATAACCTAGAGATGACCCCTTGGAAATACAAATTTAAAAATTCCACATACAATACATCATAAGTGCAAAATATTAACAAAATATATACCAAGACTTATATGCTGAAACCATAAAACATTAATGAAAGTTAAGAAAGAAGGATAAATAAATGGAAAGTTGTACCTAAAAATGTATAAATTCAAAGGAATCCTGTTCAAAATACCAGGAGGTATTTTTGTATGAATCACAAAGCTTATTCTAACATTTCTATGGAAAAAGTTAAGAAATTAAAATAGTCAAAACCAGTGAATGGATAAAGAAATCATTATATATACATACAGTGAAATATTACTCAGCAATACAAATAAATGAACTACTGATACATGCAAAGCCATGGATTAATCTCAAAAGCATTGTGCTAAGTGAGAGAAGCCAGACACAAATGGCTATATTTTTTATTTCACTTATATGACACTCTAGAAAAAATGAAACTTTACAGACCAAAATCTGGTCAGTGGTTGCCAGGGGACATGGGAACTTTGGGGGATGATAAATATCCTATATTGATTACAGTAGTGATTATACGACTATCTGTTTTTCAAAACTAATAGTACTACACCTCAGAAGAGTGAACTTTGGGGAAATTATACTTGTTGAGAGACAGTTCTCCATGGATTTTCTTGCATGTGTTATGGATAAGGCAATGATTGACCCTTGTCCTGGACTTTCTTTTCAAGAATATTTGTGTAGCAAATAGCCTTGGTAGACAGAGAAAATGTGACCCTCTGGAGCAAAGTACAGGCACACTTAGTTTAGGAAAATAAAAATATTGTCTCTCTCTGGAACAAAAGGCAAACTGACTTTAAGTAAATTCAGGGTTTCTCTTCTGCCCTGCAACACACTGTATGTGCAGGTATCACATGGCCTGTATCGTGTCACCCTGTGGGAATTAGGGCTCAGGGACCTGGCTTGCTGTTTCTGTGAATAACAATCTGTCCTCCCCCTCTGCCCCAGGAGTCTGCTAGAACAGCATCCATGAAATGGTGGCAGGGTGACTTGTTAACTTGCAAGTAGACTGAACTTTCCAACCCTCCACAGTTTGACACTTCCAGTAAACACTGACCAACATGTCTGTTCAATCAGGCAACGCATTTTCTTCCACTCTCTTGCCTATTAATGAGAAGAAACTGAGGAAGAACTGCAGGCCAAATACTAGGAATGGGTTCAAACACTGCTGTCTGCATTTAGCCTTGGATATTTGCAATCTCCCTGGAGGGACTCTGGTGGTCGGCTTCAAGTTTTCCCTATTGTAATAACTATATTAAGAATTTTTTCCTGAGGGCAGGAGGCTGAAGGTTCTATCTCTATCAAGTAACAGTTACAAAAACACTCCCACAGACTGAGCATGAAAGGAGAGAAGTTTGTGAGCTCTCTTTGCAGTAAGCAGGAGAATCTATAGACCTTCGGTTGTTCACTTGGGGAATGAAGGAGGTGGGGATGTATAAGCTTGTTAAGAAAGAATGAGAACAGCTGGATCATCTTATGGCTCAGCCCCTCCTGCAGTCTATCATGTCAACTGCAGGTGCATTTGGAGATGACAGTGAAAGGTTCAGAGGTTGGTATTTTGTTTGTTTTTTGCTTTTATTTTTCTGCAGTAGGTACTGGCTATGATGAGGGCATTGTTTTTCTAAAACAGACTAACTCCCTTGGGAAACCATAAATGATGCATTGACTAGTATTGAGGACCTTATTGCCCTGGATTAGGTTTACAATGATAATGAAAGTGACCCTCTACAGAATGAGAAACTGACTCAAAGAAATCTAGATAAATGCTTGCTGTCAGCCTTGCCACCCTGGAAAACTTCCCTAGCCCTTATGTGGAAATCAAATAAGAAC